TTTTTTTTTTTTTTTTTTTTTTGTGCGTATATGCAGTGTTATTTTTTGGAATATACGGTGTGAAATTACTAACAATTTTTTTAATTAATATCTACCATAGAAAAATAGTACTTTTTATTATATGAAATGGTATAAGTTCCCAAATCACCATATACCCTAAATAAGTAAAATGGTTTAATATATATAAACAATTACTCCCTCTCTTACTGGACTGATTTTTCTCAACAATAATACAAAAGATCATTTAACATAGTTGAAGTCATGAATACTGTAAATTAAAAAAAATTGCCTAGTAATAAGGAGAAATGTGCCAAAAAATTACAGTAAATGTTACATTTTTAGTTTTCATTTTATATTGAAAATTGGATGGGTTATGGAAAATTTTTATTAATAGAACTTCTAACTTTTGCTTTGCTAAAGACAATTCTTTTTAAAAAAATCATACATTTTTCAAAAGTACTGTTTTAAAAATCATATTAACAATTTTTTATACTAAGGTTCTTTTGTGTGCTATAGAATTTAAAAAAAAGAAAGACTAACAATTTGTCTATTAGTATCGGCCCCAAAACATGACAATCATGTAATTTTTGATGAACATGATAGATGATGCAATATTTTTTTTAGTAACAGAATGAAACATTCTAAATTATTCAAATTAAAGTTTGTAAATGTAATGAATGATTAAAAAAAGAGTAACATTCTGGTGACTCTTCCTCTATGAATAATCAACTTCTAAAGTAAAGAACCATGTAATTTTATGTAAATATAATTTTTTTTTTAATAAAAATTTATTACGCATGAAACACCACATTGTTGTTAAATCACAATATTAAAGTGAAACTACTTTTAAGAGAGTACGAAAAAAAAAAATGATTATCGAGCATCGCTGTCAGCTGTAAAGTATATTTTATATTATAATTTAGCACTATATTTTGGAAAATTAAGTAATCTTATTTAATATGCATTCAATAATTTAATTTCAAATAATATTGATTGTGGATAAAAAATTTTAAAGAACCACAATAGATACATTTTTTACGCGTTATCTTCATAAGGAAAGAAGTTTCTCTTCATCAACATGTACTCGTTTTTCATGCACTGATTTTTTTTCTGATCACTGTCAGATAACAATTAATACTAATCTAAAAATTGTCTCAACTTTACTGATTCGCTACTATTTTTTTTAAGAACAAAATTAAATTTTTTTTTATATTTTACACTGTCTAGAACACACAAAAGTTAAATAATTTAAGTATTAAACTATTTGTATTATAAATTTTCATTTGTAATACACAAACATTTCTATCAAATAGATTACAAATTGATTATTTTATGTGTAAGGGAGAGCGTTAAGTAAGTGAAACATTTTAAAATTATCCCAAACGAGAGTGTACCTTCACAACATAGTCCATTACCATCAGGTAATGGAGTTGTAGTAAAGTGAGAAGAGAATAAAATAATACATAAAAAACACAGGAGGAAAATCAATGATCTGGTGGTGGAAATTGAAAGGGGAATATGAAAGAGAAGGACGGTGTGAAATGTTAAGAGAGACTTAAAAGAATAGATTTGCTAGTTGTGTAGAGAATACAGTAAAGGTGATTATTGGTAAGAGATACAGTAGAATGCTAGGAAACAAGGAAACATGGTGGTGGAATTAAAATTTCCAAAATATAATGGTTTGGTGCTATAGAGTGATGACGTATTTTGAAAAATTACTGAATGGGGAATATCCAAGAGACACATTATCTCTCATAAAATCATTATCACAATATCTCATGTAACAAGGGACTGTTAGATTTAAGTAGTAAGAAAGAGTAATGGGAGGCTGTGGTATCAATGAGAAAGGATGAAGCAGAAGGACCAGTAGAAATATGGAAAATATTAGGTGATGTTGGCATAAGGTGGTTGAAGGAACTTTTAAATAAAATCTTATTAGAAGGGAAAATACCAAATGAATGGAGGAATAGTATTGTGGTGCCGATATTTAAAGGTAAAGGAGACATACACGAGTGTGGAAATTATAGAGACATAAAGCTTATGAGTCATAGTATGAAGATTTAGGAAAGGGTAATAGATAAGAAATTAAGAAATAAGACATTGATATCTAAAAACCAGTTTGGATTTATGCTTAGTATGTCAACAATGGAGCAATTATTTTGTATGGGACAACTAATAGAAAAGTATAGGGAAATAAGAAAAAGCTGTATATGGTATTTATAGATTTAGAGAAAGTGTATGACAGAGTACCGAGAGAGGTTTTTAAGTGGGCATTAATGAGTAAAAGAGTCTCAAAAAGGTACACTAATATAATAGAGGATATGTATGATGGCACTTGTATCAGAGTAAAAAAGTGTGGAAGAAATAACAGAAGGTTTTAGGCTAAGAGTAGCTCTTAATTATTTTCAATAGTGAAGAATGAAATTACTATAGAAATACAAGAAGAGATGCGGTGGTGTTTATTGTTCGCTAACAATATAATGTTAATAGTAGAAAGTAGGGAAGAAATTAATCAAAAGCTAAAGGTGTGGAGATTAGCTCGAGGAAAAAGAAGAAAAAAACTCTAAAAAATTATAAATTTTCATTTATAATACACTAACATTTTTATCAAATGAATATTTTCAGTTATCACAAATAAGAATTGAAAAAATTATTATAAAATATTAAACATGAATTTCAAGAAAAAAGTGATTATAATCCATTATTGCACTAAATCCTCCAATAGGTAATCCAACTAACTGACCAAATATAGGGTAAGACTAAAAATACTTTGTGAAAATATTGTTATCAAGTAAAGTTCATTAATGTTGAAAATTTGAAGGCAATTATTACAATATAAACTTGAAAACTTGTTTAATTTAAATGCATAAAATATATCACAATCTATCAGTAAAATAAACTTCAATATAGAAGTGAGCAATTAAATATTACATCCTGATTTTAAATAAAAGCGAATACCCTTATATTTAAAAGTATATGAATTACCAATCTAATTCTAAACTCATTTATTTTTTATTAGCTCATAAAAAATAAAAACTTATATTTTTGGAATAGGAACTGATACACAAATTTTATACTAGATCCTTTATATTGTATACATAATATTTACTTCTTTTCTTTGAGCATTCAAATCCCAGAATACCATAACTGAATCTTCACCAGCTGATATTAATAGATTTTTTTGAGAAACAAATGCCAATGATGTTACTTTATTACTGTTTAAAAAAAATGTAATGAGAAATTCCATAAATAATGTCAATAAAAAAAAATTTTTTTCTTCTTACTTATGACCATGTAATTCATAAGCTGTACCTTGACCACCTCCAATATCCCAAACAATGATTACACGATCTTGCCCAGATGAAAATAGACGTCTTGTACTAGAATCCCAAATAAGCATTTCAATACTAGCAGAATGACCTGTCAACGTTGTAACCACTTTTAAACCATCAGATTTTATGTTGAGCATAGTAATATTTCCTGAAGAGTCTCCAACAAAAGCATGAGCTGATTCAGGATCATATCTAATACTTCAATGTAAGTTCAATTTAATAATATTTATTTATGTAAAAATGAAACAATTTCATAACTAAATATTAAAACTAAGATAAAAACTATTATTTAAAGAACATAACATAATTCAAATCTTTATGAATACTTCAATATTTCTATAATATATTTAGACATCTAATGATAAAAGGATACTCTAATGAAGTGCAAAACGATGTAGAAACAAATGGAGGTCCTATTGGGTTACCATTTTTTGCATTATGATATTGAAAATTTTTATCACGAGATGTGCTTAAAATCCATTCTTCCATTGTTCCATCAATATCTACTTCAGTCCAAATCATTCCGGTAATGCGACCATGGTGTGCTAGTATATCACCAATAGTCTCCATACGATTAAAATCTTCTTCCAATATATATTCCTTAAATTATAATATGTGTTAAATTTGTAACGAGTCAATTTTTAGAACACATTTAATGAAAAGAATATAAAGAAGACCACTATAGTTAATTACATAAATACAAATTTAATATGAAAATATCTAGTTGATAAATACTTCTGAACATTTTAAACATAGCAAGTTATAAGCTATAAATCAAATAATAATATAATGATTTTTATAAAATCAAATTTAATAAACACAAATAAATTAAATAATATTAACATATTAATCAATTAATATAAAATAAAAAATAATTATTTAATCGTTTTGATAAAACTCACTGATATAGTTCCATTTTCTTGACCAACAAACAATTGCCTAGTAGTTGGGCGATAAAATAAATCAACTGCTGGTGATGGTAAATATGTACATATACTCGGCCAGTACTGCCCTGAATCTCTTTTTAACCATACCCTTACAGTCCTACAAATAAAAATTTGAATGCATCTTAAACTTAATTTACCTTAGATTTTTCCTATATAAAAAAAGAATCATAATTTAGTTAATACTTAAAGTAATTTTTTATCAAATGTACTTTTTAATATCAACTTCTTAACTGAAGAGAGCATTTACATAAATTAGATATTTAATGGTTAAAGCCTCCCTTAAACTTTTTAGCAAAACAAAATTTTTAATATTTAATAACTTTCTATTTTTGCTAATTTAGGTGGTCTTAGAGTTTGAGCGAGGAAAAATTTTTTTTTTTCAAATCCAAAAATTTGAATTTCTTTTATTAGCCTTTAAAATTTTATCAAAAAATATAAAATCCTCAGAGAGCTCTCTATCTGGCTAGATTAGGATAATTTTAGCAGCTTATCTTAACATGAAGTGTAATATATTATTCCAGTGAGATATTTAAAAAGTTTTCTTTATCTTTCACTAGTAAAAAAATGACAATTGAAAAGAAATAACACTAGTGTTTCAAGTTCTTAGTCATAAATCTTTGCAAAAGTTTTTTTTCTTACATTCTAAAAAAAGAAAAAACTGATTAATAGCTGCTATAGTATTCTTAAAAAATATCCCTTACAAAAGTAATATTAAAGATTAGGGTTATAGGTAAAATTAAAGTTGCAGTGCAGCATAGCAAAACACTCAATCACTGAAATTGTCAAAATTGAGACAGGTATCAATTCTAATTATTAATATAAGAGAAAATTGATTAATGGTGCCAGAAATATGTAGTTATATACATATAGACAAAAAAAAGTATGCAAATGAAATTATGTTGAAGCCCTAGACAATTTAGTTTTAAATTTGCTCTCCTATAATGTTTCCAAAATTAGGAGACTAAATTTTTTATTTTATAATTGCAAATAATCTTATTAGAACTTAGGAAAGTTTAATTAGTTTATTATGATAAATATCCTTTTCTAAACATTACTTCAATTTCACACATGTGTTTCATGAATAAAATATTTTTCAACAATATACTATTAATGGTATACAATTTTTTATAAACATTACATTAATAAAATAGTTGGTAATTTAGATACAATTTACTTCATTATTTAACCTATACATATTGAATAAAACTCCAATAAATCTGTTCTTAAAAAATAACTAAGAATTTAAAAAACATTTTAGCATAAAACAACCTGTTAACACAAAAAATCTTAATTGTAATTATACACTTGAAATGAATAATAGCCTAATAAATAGATAATAATATCAACTTTTATTACCGATCACTGGAAACACTAATAACGCCATCAGTTTCTGGGATTAATATAGCTTTATTAACATTGTCACTACATCCTTCCAATTTAGCTAGTAATGCCGGCTTTCGGTTTGAATTAAATTTATCGTTGTTTGAGCTAGGACCTGGTTTAATTTGAGCCGCCATTATGATTTACAAATGTGTAATTAATAATTTTTAATGATTTTAAAAATTGTAATACAATTTCATTGAGTAAAATTTAGACCATCGTAATAATAACATAACTTAGGAACGATCTTCTTATATAAATTTTTATTTATTATTTCATACATTTCATGATTGACACATAATATTTGCTGAAAAATTCCGATCTGACTTAACTCAAAAATTCTAAGAAAAGGCAGAACAGCTCAGCCAAGGTAGAATCTAAAAAAACCTTCGAAACATAAATAGTACAAATATTTTTTCTGTATATATCACATAGAAGTGTTATACTGATTTTTACTTAATTAATATGATGTTAGCAACCTACTATTGATAAGAAATAAATTTCAGCTTGTCCATTGTGAATTTTTCGGTATAAATAATTGTTTTATTTATATTTAAATTATAATTGTTCCTAAATTAAAAAAATATAATTTAAGCTTTTAAAATTTAATATAAGCCAATTAAAAGTTCGCAGAAACTGTTCTCGGATAAAGGAGTAACCCTACTTAAATAATTTAATAAAAAAATTTAAGAGTTCAATTATTATTTATGTAACCTATTTTTGAATATTTTTTTTAAAGTATAATTCATGTATCTCTTAAATATAGCAGATTTATGTAATATAGTAGAAAGAAGTAGATTTAAGAGGCTCCTAAAAATAATGGTTTCCTTGTCTTAATAGATATTTTTTTTTTTTATAAATAATGACAGAAACTTCTAAATATCTTAAATAATTATTGTTTTTATCCAAATATTTTTCATAATATTACGGCTATTGAAGTAAAAAAAAATTATAAATATATATTTCATTTACCAAATTTAAAATTTAAATTTTTATAAAGATTATCCCTGGTTACGAGAAGTCTTTCAAATGTTAAAGGTTAAATAATCATTGACGTATTTAAGAATGAGTTATGAAAAAAGGTCCAGATAACATTCACAACGTAAAGTACTAAGGAGCTTTATCCCTTCACTCTCCTACTACATGATTTTAACTAATTAGTATTCAGTCTTTTTGAAAATCCTCAACCATTATTATGTAATTATTAATTTTATCTTCTAAATACAAATGGGGATTTTGTGATGTCTGTTTGAGCAATATCAATCCAGTAGGAACTGAATACTATAATAGACATAAATAAATACATCATAATTAAATAATTGAAATCTCACCTTTGCATCAAAACTAGAGTAATTTTAATTTGTAGTTAAATTACAAATTCTGTACTTATTAAATCAACAGGTTGAACATTTACTTTTCAAAAGAGAGATTCGATAAACTAATATTACTTTTTAAGAAATTTTTTTAGAAGAGCAGAAGAAATTATTTTTATTGCCTTTTTTTTATTTATATAATAAGATTGATTTGTAGTCAATATTAACTCAAAAAGCCACAAAAAAATTGTAAATAGTATTTCAGGTTCAATGTTACCATCTTCATCGCTAAACATACACTTTTTTTTATTTATTAATATTTTTCTTTTCTATAAGAATCATTTACTGAAAATTATGTAAAATTTTAGGTACTTTTTAAAAAATTATGAGTAAAAAATTACATTGTCAAATAAATTTTCAGGAAAATATATTGAACTTATCAAGCCACACCCCAATATTTTTTTATTAAGAAAATAAGTTATAATAATGATATTCATGGTTACTTCATCAAAATAAAATTTTAAATATTTATATGGAAATTATATTCAGTGTTGTTTTAAAATTTATCACAATTATTAAAGTTATAAGCTATTATAAATCTGAAAAAAAACATTTTTCCTATTCTTATAAATAATCAGGATCAATTGTTACATTTTTACAATTTAATACATTTTTTCAATTACTAGATTTTACGAGAAAAGTAATTTAATGTTACAATAAATATCAGTCTTAGTAAAAAAAAATCAATTAGCACTAATATTATCTCTTTGAGATAAGGCACTGAGGAAATCAATGAATGTTTATAATACAAGAATGATTCATATTACTAAGTAAGAAAATTGGCTACATAATTAAATTTATAATTGTATTAAATATTTCAAATTGTGCCAGAGTCAACCTAGCCTAGTGAATAGAAACGTATGTTTTGGCACATGGTGTCCCGAATTTGATCCCCAGGGTGCCAATTAGAATTTCCTTGTGATTACTCATTAGTGGTGTTTGGCATCTGGCGCAATATCAGTCATAATACCCATCCCATCCATCATTGACTTAACCAAGAACCATCTTTGATTCCCTAACATATGGAGGACCACCACCCTTTGTAGCATGTTAAGTTTGAGAAATAGTAGGATGTCATTTCATATTGTGCCAATGATGAAATATTTGATAGTCATTCTGTTTGTGTAAAATTTGATTATCAAATTTTTTTAATAAACAAATCAATATAAAAAAATTGACTTACATTTTAGATAGTTATTCTAAAACCAATATTTTACAAATGTGTTTATTAGAGAACTAACATAATACAATCACTAGAAATCAACCAATATTAAAAATATTAAATTACATAACAAATTTGTTTTTTGTATTTGGTATAGGAATTTACAAATGCAAGATATTTTTTCCAATCTCAACAATTTTGTCTCGAGAATTTATTAAACTAAAAGCAGTTGCTAAAGTAAATCCAATTAAACCACCAAATGCGCATCGTCTAAGACCACCTGAAAAAAAAATTATTCTTATGAGAAAATAAATTATGTTATATAGCATTTATTACATAGAGTTATTAAATAGTTTATTAATAAATTAAAATAGATATAGATTCAACATAATATAAATAATATATATTATAACAAGAGCTATAATTTTGATTAAAAACTTAAATACAACATTAACATACTATTAAAATTTTGAATTAAAAACGTACCTGTGCTTTTGTATAACATTCCAGTACTGGTACCAGCAACAATAGTATTTACCTCATCTTCACATCCTCTAGTCTTTTCTAATATAATACCACATATACTATAATAAACAGATAAAGTTCCAAATGTATTGGCTAATCTGGCTCCATTTTTGAAAACACTATTTAATATCCTAAAAAAAAATTTAATTAATAAAGCATACAATACTATTGTATAAATTATAAAGGATATTATACAACAAAATCTATATGTTGCATTAAAATTATATAAAAAAATTATTTATTACAGAATTTAGAATAGAAGAAACTATAGCAAGTAAACTATATATTAGATGGGTTGCTTGTTATTGAGGTACCAATAATTTCTATGCCACAACTTGTTACACAATCAATACTAAATATACTAGATTGAGTACCATCTACTCAACACAACCAAGACATAAAATACAACAAATAAGACCAGCAGAAGAGGATAAATGATTAGGCTGTTTGTCACATTTAAATTGAAAGTATCAATTTGACAGATGGCATATGGAGTATATGGTAGTATTCAATATAAACAAACTTTTATAAAAAAGACTAGTTCTTGTGATAACCTTATACTTTTTAGTTTAATATGAAAAAGGTATATAGATTTCTATTGTTTTTATATTTTATTATAAATACTTATTTAGTATATGGCATTATTAAAAACTGTGTTTAAATAACACGCACATATATATACTTATAAACACTAGCCATAAACTATTAACTTCAAAATTAAATTATTTAAGTCGAACAGATTAATTAAAAAAAATTATTTATAGTAAAAATGTTGACAGCCTACAAAAATAATTATAATAAATAATAATTGTAAAAAGTTAAAATATTTTTTTTTATAGAGACAACTAATAAAATAGTCAATATTGCAATAAAACATATAGTAGTTGAATAGAACATAAAATCTTTAAAATTTTGTCTAAAAATGAACATTATAAAAACTCACTAACTCATTAACGAAGATAAAAAATATCATGCAATATATGTTAAAAACATTTTATACATAAGTTATTGAAATAAAGATTCTTACTGAGTTCGATTATAAGTACTAGTTTGATTTTCCATAGACGTCATTTTAATTCCATTGTAAACACCTCGCATACTACCTATGGTTGCACCAACTAAAACTGATGTACCAATTTGATTGAAAGATAATTCAAATCGACCACGCTGATTAGCACCAGCTCCTTCTAAATAAATATATTCTGGCTGAGAACTTTGAGGCAATAGTTTAGGATCAAAATTTAAGTATGGTGATGGTACTGATGAAAAACCACCTAACCCTCTGTTTCCTAAAGAAATAGTTATAAAATTTAAAATTATTACTATGAAAACAATTTATTAATTTACATACCATTATTGTTATCTCCCACACTAAACATCTTAATGAACTATACTTTTGAGTTTATATTAATGTACACAAAAAATAATACAACCAAAATCTGAGATGATTTATTCAGTGACCAAAACTGTTATTGTGTTGATTAATTTATGCAAAATGCAAATTTTAATTCGTCGCTCTAATAAATGGTGTATTACACACAAGTATAAGAATTTTCAAATCAACGTCAATTGTTGAAAATATTCAAAAGAGTCAATCTCAAACTAATAAGTTATTTTACAAAAACATGCTAAAAGCATGCAAAACTTTAACATTTGCAAATAATTTCTAACAGTTGCAATTTATATTTAATCTTTGGTACACTATTTATTGGTTAGAGTTTAACTAATAGGTAGTGATGGTCACTTACCAATGCATACTATCGAACTATTCGATAGTTTAAAACTATCGATTCATCTAATTGTTTTCAAAATCTATCGACAATAACAAGAATACAAATTTTGCTCACCAACATATTTTACTCAGCATGGCTATATAAGAAAAATCGAATTAATAAAAAACATTTAATCATTTAGGATGGGAGTACGACCCCCTAAACAACACTGATTGATCTTTGAAAGCAAATGTCTTTTGATAGTTTTTATTTATCGAACAATCGACTCCGAACTACTGAATGTCAAACTCTTATCATAAATTTGATTACTAACTATTCACTATATTATGCGGATTAACACAACTTAATGAAACAATAAATATCTTGAATGATACTTTGCATGACTGAATACTTTCAACTATCGAACTATCGAATAAAATATACGATGGTTTTGTTTGAATATAAATTTCCAATTATTTCTTCCGGTAGTCTATTCGAGTGAAAATTATCGAACATTGTATCCGGTAGTTCAATAGTCTAAAATTAATCAGTGTAGATAGTAACAATTGAATAGTATAGATGCAATAGTATTTTTAAATACGATCGAATATATAGTCAAAACTATTCGATAGTGCCCATCACTACTAATAAGCCTTATAATAACTTAGTACAGGTCAAAACAACACAAGTGAATATATCTTTGATAACCACTGTGATCAAACACAACAAATTATTATAAATTATTAGTTAAAATTTATATAATACATGGTATATATATATATAAATCTACTAATTACTGTGGTGGCAACACTGTTGTTTAAGATCTCTACTGAATAAATGATAACTAATACTACAAATTCTAAACCCTAAAGCCACTAATTTTTAAATTTTACTTTATTTATGACAACACTATGACTTGCACGAACAAAGATCTTTAATCGAAATGACAAGATGAGCAGTCAAATGGCAACAGTTTAAGAGCAAAAAAATTGAGGCGGCCATGCTCAATCCAAAAAAAGAAATGATGAGCAAAAAAAAAGTCAAAAACCAATTATAAATAGAAACCGAGTTACACTGCTCATAACAGTCCTCATCGCTCTAACTGTCTTGAAAGTACTGACACCCATACTACCGCGACTATTTCTCCATTAATGTGTTATCATAGTCAAGATAAATAATAAAATTATCTTTTTTGTTGTATAATAAATTTTTAACTTCGATGCGTAGCTGAGAAGATATTAATTTTACTATGATGTGTTTTTTTTATGTCTGTTACCACTTTTTCTCTACTCTCACTGAACCGATTTCTTTCAACGAATCGTCAAAAGATCACAAATCGTATCTAGTCGAAGACATTACCCTCAAAAATTGAAAAAATTTCCCTCGTTCCCCGTAAATGGGAACGAGTTTTAACCAGTTAAACGTTAACCAGTTTTATGATTTATAAGGGTAATATATGTATATATATATTAATAATATATAAATATAAATAGTACTTGTCTTAAAAAATAATAATGATCCATATATTTTTCATATATTACACTTATAAATCATAAAACTTGTAATCAGAATAAATAAGGAAATATACCAAATGATAGATAAAGACATAATGTAACTATAAAAAAAAAATTATATTGATTTGGTTATTTTTGAAAAAGTTATGGCAGTTTTAAGTAAAAAAAATTGAAAAAATTTGTAATTTTTTTGTAGGTTTCCTCCATTTACGGGGAACGAGGGAAATTTTTTCAATTTTTGGGGGTAATGTCTTCGACTAGATACGATTTGTGATCTTTTGACGTATCGTTGAAAGAAATCGATTCGGTGAGAGTAAATAGTGGTAACAGAAACAAAAAAAAACATATAGAAAAATTAATATCTTCTCAGCTTCGCATCTAAGCTAAAATACATAAAAAAAGTAGAACTTTTTTAAATTAATGTTTGGAAGTGTTCTGAAATATTATATTTTTTATATATATCTTGAACTAAAGCTTATGTAATATATTTTATTTAAAAAAAAAAAATGTTGGACTTTTATTTTATATTCATAGTGATAACAAACATTAAAATTAATTAAAAAATATTTTTTATATTTAATTTTATAAAGTTATAATTTTTTGAAAAATGTATGGATCATTATATTTTTTTTAAGATAAGTACTATTTATATTTATAATTAATAATATATATATATTTATTTATTTATTCATATATTACATTTATAAATCATAAAACTTGTAATCATAATATAAATAAGGATATAGGAGATCGTGTAGCTTTTGGAATAATCCATTAATTTTTTTAAATTAAACATTATCTATAGATTTGCATCGAAGCGTTTCTAATGATAGTGATTTTAATCACTGCCAGATTAAATCTATACTGGACCCAACTTTGCTACGTCCCCACTGTACCGCGACCTCACTGTGCAATTTTGCAATCAATTAGTGCCGTAGCACCCCTTGTCACGGCACTAATATAACCAGTGATTCATACTCAAGGTTAGACAACATATTTATTACAGTCTACGAAGTGCTAATTAACACTCCTATATAATGATTGGCTTCTTGTAAACAGTAGTATTTTTCGTTTTTAATTGTTTGTTGTAGTCGATATCTTGTTTTAACTATCAGAGGCGTATTTTGGAAGGGGACAATGACTTCAAGAAGCACATTTTAAGTGGCATGCCTTAAGAATAATAGTGTACATTTTTTTACTTATAAGTTAACTGTATAAACAATTAAAACCTAATTTCAACAATAATTACATTATTAGTTAAAACTTATTATTGCTGATAAACTACTGTCACATATAATGACTCATTAAATGTGCTTATTGATTTTTAGATTCACATTATGTAGTTTATAATGATTGTTTTGATTCATTCGTCATTTAATTTTTTTAAGTAATATCATGTTTACATGTTTTTACAAATAAGTTTTACTCGTTGGCTTTAAGAAAGAATTTAATTTCAAAGAAAGTTAAATCTTATTACCTTCAGTGTCTTCTTTAGAAGTTTTATTTTTAATTATAACTTCTATATTAAAATGAAGCGCCATTGGAAATATATTTATTTATTAATTATCTTATTCATATTTCTTTCTGCCACTTAAGATTAAGTGAACTCGTGTTACTGCACCCAGACACAAAACAAATTTAAATCAATTTTCAACTTAAAATATAGAGTTTTAATTAAACATAATAAAATTTTTATCTAGTTGTATATAAATTACGATAAATTATAATTCGTATATAGACGCAAACAAATGCCAATAATTCAGACTGAATGGTATAAATAGAAATAACAGTTAACAAATTGTGCAATACTTGTATACAATTTTTATTTCAATAAATACATAGAATTTTTACATCATATTTTTATGAGATATGATTATTGTTAAATATAATTATATTTCTTCATTATAATTAGCATTAATTATTCATAATTTATTAATTATGAGTATTGCATTAATTATGAAATATTCATTAATTTATTATTAATTATTATTTGATACTAAATGAGTTAAATTATCGCCATAAGTAGAGAATAATTGTGAAATAGTTGAATGGAGAACTCTACTGGTGTAATTTTTTCAATCAACTTTTTTGCCGAATGTTAATACCTAATAAATTCAATTTAATAATTCTTTATAATCACCAAGCATACTCGTTCAATATGAGAGCTAATATCATACAAATAGATACGCCTGATTTACGGAGTTTCAAAAAGTTTTACGAGAATTTACAAAGTATTAAAAATTATTTAGTTTTTTGTGTTGTTGAATATTTTTAAAGTTTGGAAATAGGCAATTATTGCAAAAAATCGTCAAATTGACCTATATTTTATTATTATTATTTTGTCACGAAAAGGCAAATAATTCCCCCAAATATAGTTCATATATGCACCTACACAAACCTAATTGAGGCCTATTATCAATCAATATACTTATTATATAAGACTTATCAATTCCTGTACGAATCCGACCTGTCTCTCTCAAATAACACTTTTGGTTTTTAGAATTTTGTAAGTAAACGTTCCCGCAATATCTATTTTACACTGATAAAAATTCAAATGTATGTGAAATATTTGGTAGCTAGGATTATATATTTTGCATTAGTTTTTTTGTTAATTACACGTAAAGTTCCAGGGGATTCAATGGCATCATATCTGGGTGTTCCTAAACAAATAAATATTTTAAATATATTATCCTCAAGGAAGAAAAATCTATGGAAACACTACCCACATTTCGACAATATATAAATATATTTTTTAACAGACAACGTATGGGTTATTGTCAGTAATTAAAGTGGGAAAACTAGCGGGGGTCTATAGTTCCTAAAAATAAGTAGCGTACCCAAAAAGAATTCTTCCTCAAATATACTTACTTAAAAAAAATATATATATATAATAATGAATTAAAAATCAATTAGAAATGAATATTATACAAAACATCACAAAGGCAGTATCAACATTTTAATTTATTATGAAAATAAATGCAAATCAGTATTTTTTAATTTTAAATATACTATAACAGAAATAAGTCGATAAAGGAATATTAACAGTAACAAATTTAGATAGGCATCTACATATAAAAATATAAATAACAAATATATTAGTATACTTTATAAAATATTCAACAAACTATAAAATTTATCAATAAAAATGTTTACATCACTTAAAATTTGTGTTTCTATTACTTAATAACCCTTAACATAAGTCTTTTAGTTCCATATGTAGTCATACATTAATTAAATGTTTTGTTAAGCTTACATTAAAGAATTAATTTAAACTTTTGAATAATTCAAAAACAAAAAAACTCTAAATAAGAAGGTAAACTCCGTCCATCATCATTTTAACCACTGGTTATAGTGAGATCTGATGTTGTGCTCGCTCTGAGCAATATTTCGATCTAACTGATGTTAATTATAGTAAATTTTATAGTACTTTTAATTAAAAACAGCTTTTCAGTTACACATCAGAGCTAAACATAATTTTTTCTATAAGTTTGACAATCTCATTACCTTTATTCTATGGAATTAGATTATATGGATATGGATTTATTATTGTTTTAAACATCTATAGTAATAGAAATACTCTCTTAAAATATAAAAAGATAACATTTTAAACACTGTAAAAAATTTATACATGAAGAAATTATAAAATATTTCATTAAAAATTTCCCACAAATCTTTAATCCTACCATAAAGTAGAACCATAGATTATACGACTATTTTCATGTAGTCTGTGATAGAACTTCTTATTTATCAAGATGTACGTTGAAAAAACTTTGTATTAAAAAGAAAAGGAGAAATATATTTAATATAATGTAAGAAATGATAATTTTATAGAAAATTATAAGCGTCATGCTGAGAATTTTCTTTAAAATAAAAACAATTTTTTCAAAATAAAGAACAAGTTCTTGAAATTTTTAAATGGTAACACTGCTTTCGAATGCTTTTCAAAACGCCAACAAGCGATAAACAAATAATAATAAAAAAATAGAAATACGGTGATATAGGTTTAATGATAATGTTATTTTTTAATCATTTATTTATAACATTTAATATTATTTATTAATATTATACTAATGTAATATTACTTAAATTGATTTTGACAATCATTAATTTTGTGAACTTTTTGTATTTTTTTTTATCTTGTTTATAATTTACTAACACTCACATTCATTTTCGATGTGGCGATCACAATATTAGCATACATGTTCATACAATCGCCATAAATAAGAGTGAAGGACATTTTTTGATTATTTGGTGGTGCTAAATTATGATTTAAGTAACGTCAAATCTTATGTATGATATCAAGCTCAATCGTGTTTAACTGCCAAACGAATGATCACAGAATATCAAAAAGAGTTGAAAAACAAATGTTTAAATGGAAGCATCCTCAATTATCACCCAAGTGTCGCGGGAGGACGAACACTTAAAGAGTTATACCCCCAACAAAAGTAATTAATTATACAATAAGAAAATACTATAAAATAGGTTTGGAATACCTATTCAAAATTCCTTCCAATTTTTGTTTTTTTTTTTTTACAAAAATAAAATAATTATATTTACTGATCTACTTTGAGATCTGAGATATTAATCGAAACTGCAATCACAGCTCTAATACACCAATCAATGAAAAAGTTTATTCGTCATATAAAGGACTATACAATTAACTAACAATTAAATTATTTAATTAATCTGAATAAGTTATTTGATTTGGAAAATTAGCCACATCTATTCTTTGATATAAAACTGTAATAATTTGAAAATAACATAATCTGATTACTGAAATTTTATTAAAAATTATTTTTCTTCATATGAGAATATTTTTGTTCATTATAATAGTTTTCAAGTTTAAGTGAGTTAATTTTGGATTATGAAATATGGACAACTTATAATAGTTATAAATAGTGCTTGAATGATATATTTTTAAATAAATATAGTATTTTTAGATTATATAACATACAATTATCCTTTTTATATTTAGAAATAGCGAGTTGTTATTTAAATGCTTAACATGTATCTGATTTTTTAGGTAATCATGTTAGAATGAAAAATGAACGGGGATTGTGGCGAACATTGCTTTGTTGTTTTGGAAAATCAAGAACAAGACCAAAGTCTTCCTTTGGACCAAGTGGAAGTATACGTGGAACTAACACTAAATCTAACCGAAGTTTAACACCTCCACTTAGTCCAGATCCTTCACAGACATCATACCTTTTACCAGCTGTAAAACATCAAGACATGCATAAAAAGTGTATGGTGATTGATTTAGATGAAACTCTTGTTCATAGTTCATTCAAGGTATTCATCAATTTTTTTTTCTTTTATTATTTATTTTTTGTAGACTCAAAAGACATCTTAAGATAAATTACTTTAAAGTTTTAATCTAAATAAGCTATTTAATTATGTGTGTTGCCATTAGAGAAATGAAAGTTGTCACTATTATAAGGTATAAACGATGAACATAAAAAATACTTTATGATTGTTATGTTGAGAGAAACATTATATTAAAATAAATAAATAAAAAAATCACTTTGTATATTTAATTTGAAAAATAATATTAGCATAATATTTTTCATAGATTAATAAAACTAAATCACAAAGATGCTTTTTGGTCTTATTGACTAAAAATAATTATTACTGCATAATTATTAGTGATGGGAAATATCAAATAGTAACTATCAAACTATTCAATATTTGTCCACTATTCGAACTATTTGATAGTCATTCAAAAACTTTTAGAATAGTAAAAATATTCGATAGTTTATGTTAAAAATAAACTAATTGGTTGTATAAAAACAATTCAAATAGTTATTTGAAAGTTTTAAAAAACTATTGAATACTATTCGATAGTTTAAAATATTCGAAAAATGCCTATCACTAATAGTTATTGCTCTTTTTAACTACTGCTAGTGTACACATTAAATGTATTTAGGTAATAAGAACTATCCTGAGTTATTGCTATAACCCAGTGTAATTAGAAATTTTGAATGGGTAGAAGGTAATGGGAAGATTTATTCTTCCACTACAATGCCCACGAGTAGAGTCTGTATCCAGAATCAGTACTATAAACTGAACATATATATTTTCTTTGACATATTCAATTAAAATAAGAATTTTATTTTTAAAAGACTAATTTATGAAATATTTATATATGTATTGCTAGCATTGTGTGAAAGACCATTAAGTCATTTTTTTTTTAAAGTTTCTATGTTAAAAAAATCTTAATTGTAAAGTTTTTGATAAAATAATGTACCTTTTTTAGGCAATTAACAATGCAGATTTTATTGTACCTGTAGAAATAGATGGAACAGTTCATCAAGTATATGTTTTAAAAAGACCTCATGTAGACGAATTTCTTCAACGTATGGGTGAACTTTACGAATGTGTATTATTTACTGCAAGTCTTGCTAAGGTTGGATTAATATAATTTTTTTAGATTTATAATTTATCATTGATAAAGCTAGAAATTTATTATAAATAAATGATGTATAACATTTTTAGTATGCTGATCCAGTAGCTGATCTATTAGATCAGTGGGGTGTGTTTCGAGCTCGATTATTTCGTGAATCATGTGTATTTTATAGAGGAAACTATGTGAAAGATTTAAACAAATTAGGCCGTGCTTTGCATAAAGTTGTGATTATTGATAATTCTCCAGCATCATATATTTTCCATCCTGATAATGCTGTAAGTATTTATAATTATTACTTGAATCAAAAAGTAATTAGGGAGAGTTAAAGAAACTTTAACAGAGCTAATTTTTGTATTACCCCTTCACTAAAATATTTTTTCATTCAATTACGTATATTTGTACTAAATATTTTTGGGGAATGGGTTAAATTTATTTTTTGAAAAGACTTTGTGCCCTCAATCTTCCTCTTCCAAACACTCACATGAGTAGAAATAGCCAATATTTACTCAAAATAAATTTTGAACCCAATGATAATAAAAAAAAGTACTTTTCCATTACCTTAAGAGATATTAAATTAAAAAAATTTTTACTCAAAATATTAAAAAACATTCTTTTAGGCATTCTACATAGCTTAGCTGGTAATGAATCATAGCTAAATATAAAGATACCCGGGTTCAGTTTTATTGTGCTGGGCTCTGGTTTTCCTGTCCTCTTAGACAGGAAAAACCTAAAACTTTTCTCTTAGCCTCATTGAGATGATCTTATCACACAAAACACCAGACACTTCTCTCCACATGATCCATATGCATTTAATTCTATGTCTCACATCCTCATTTATTGTCATTAATTCCTTGTTTCATCACCCTTACATTCTCTTTCGTCAATCTCATACTATTTATACTAAATCTTATTTCTATTATTCCTTATTCCATTTCTTTTAAGGGCCAATGTCCACATGTCTAGTCTTTGGTTAACTTTCTCTATTTATAGTATAATTTCAAATAATGCACATACATAGAAAAAGTAACAATAGCTAGTACCATCTTACAGCTATAATGTGTAATTAATTATTTATATGTAAAGATCAAGTAATATTTTAGATTGCTTTTATTATTTATTGATAAATTTAAGTGCAAGTTTTAATATAAATTTATATTATTGTAGGTTCCTGTTAATTCATGGTTTGATGATATGACTGATAAGGAACTATTGCATTTAATTCCTTTTTTTGAAAAACTTAGTAAAATGGAAAATGTTTACCCAGTTATTTGTAATATAAATCATATGGCCAATGCAGCAGCTGCTATTGCCCAATCACATCACATAAACAATGACAACAATTTATAGCACTAAATTATAGTGCAATATATTTGTGCCAATATTGGCTATTTTCTAGCCATTCATATTAAAAAAAATATATATTTATATATATAATAAAATTATATTAAAGTGAAATTATATTATTTCATGATATAATGTTTATTTTAATATATAATGCAACATAATTTGTATACAAATTTATATGTTATACCTTATTCAGGTTTCATTAAAACAATTAATTTTAATTCTTGTTGAACTTCTTGAAAATTTTTAAATTACTTTTGTTTTTATTTTTTATTATTAGTTTTTTTATGTTGAATCAGTGGTTGAAAATAAATGTAGATAATCATTTTTTGATTATTAAAGAAAAGGACTTGCAATATATCAAAAAAAAAAAAAATGTTTGTAAAAAAAATAATAAATGTATTTATACTAATTTTAATAATTATTGAGTATTTTGTAAGAAAAAATGTTATTGTATGCAGGATTTCTTTATTTAATTTTAATTTATAATCAATTTAATTATATATTTTTTGATTTATTTGATACTTTTATAAATGTAATTAATAATCCAAATACATGTTATAAATCAAAATCAGTATTACTATTTACCCATTTATTTTAATAAATGTAATTATTATTTTTGGAATAAAATATGTTAAATATATTAATTGATAACAAATTCATCACATTTCTTCATCACTAATATTATATTTTCTTTACAAACGATAAATTATCATCTTTCTTATTATGCAATACTTTTTAACAATTTATTATTTATAAAATATTTAACACAATTCACAAGTATCATTTGTTAATTATTTAGTGAAATACGTGTATTTTTTCTCAAGATAACAAATAAATACATAAACAAAACCTAAACAAACATGTTAAGAAAATAAAATAAAATAGATTATTTTTGTAAAGAGAATTATATTTTTTTAATTTCATACTTTTAAAAGAATACCAGATTTCATACATTTATTTACTTATAGATAATAAATTGATAATTTTTTTTTTTAATATTTGTCTTGATTAAAATTTTAATAAAAATTATGTACTCTTGAGATGAAATTGAATTATAAACTGTTACTATTTATAAAACTTAACCTATAACTTTTTTTACTGAGAATTATGACTAGTTAAAGCTAAATAAAAATTTAAAAATTATTAATTTAAATATATTAAAAAGTAAATATAAAAACAAACACTCAATTTTTTTATTGTGGAGTTCTTTTTAAACATGAAATGTATATGATTTAATTTTAAGTTAATTTAAATAAACAATTCTCATCAAATCAGTTAGCTTTTTTATATTGACATAGTAATAATACTTATTATGATAAAATTGAATGGCAATTTTATAATATATATTATTTTTACTAATTTGTGTATTCTGTGTAATTTTTGACATATAGAACACCAATTATATCAAATAGTAATGTTTATAAAATTTTGCTAGCAAACTTACAAAATAATATATGTGACCAGCAATTATTAAATGTTTGCATATTTTATTCTTAAATTAATTTTATATTTATCTTTTTTTTTATTTTAAGTTAAATATATTTTTTAATCTATAAACCTAAAACAAAATTAGAATTAACAATAGATTTAAGTTATTTTTATCATTAATTAAAATTTTTTTTAGTTTTAAAACTAAATGTTTAATAGTTTCAATCTAATTTTTATTTATATTCGGCCTCATTCTTGCTTACTAAATAAATTTCAGTTAATTTAATGTAATGCATTGTGTTCTCATTTGTTTGAATCTCTAGATCAATTAGATTTTTTGTTCTTATTATTATTTTAAACCAACTTTTTATTAAAAACAAAATACTTATCATTACTAAAATTAATTTGTTAATATTTTGTTATTGTCAATTGTAATAGTATTAAATAATTTTAAATGAATAATTAAATTAGAAATAAAAAAGGAATTATAATTGATGTGGCTCATTTTATCATTAGTTTTTTATTTTAAGTATTACTAAAAAGTTATAGACAGGTTAATTACTGCTTGATTAACGGGAAACTTTAAGTATGCTTAAGAAAACAATTCTTTAAACCAATGACATTTTTACAAAGTTTTATCATTAAATGTAAAAACATTACTCACCTGAACAAAAATAAATTTTAAGTTATAATAATTTTTATAACAAATAAAGTAAATTTTGTTTCTTTTTATTAGAATATTTGTCCTTCACATATAATATTTTATAAAATCCACTAACCAGTTATTACTTCTTTATTCATTCTTAATGATTAATAGTCTTGTGATTCATATTTTACTTTTCATTCATTCTTATTAATTATAAACTTGGGGTTTTTAATTACTTAAGATTGCATAAGAGTTTATTTCTTCTCAACTTCTTAAACGTAAATCCAGCACTGAATTAAGTCAGGATTTTATTTTGAGGTAAAGTAAAGATTCTAAAAAATGAAAGTTTTTCCTCTTCACGCAATACTATTAAGTTAGGCTTAGGAATCGAACCAGGGTGTTATAATAGTTGGTAATATAATATCGTTATAATATAGTAGATCCTAGTATAAAAAATAAATAAATCTAAACTTAACCTAGAGTATAATTATGAATAATTAATAATGGTTACAATTAGTTTCGGGTTCAAGCCATCTTCAACCTGAACTTTACTGTATAAATAGTTGAAACAAGTATAGATGAAATCTGACAGTGATTAAAATCACTATCATAAATATTTCATGCAAATCTGTGGTTTTTACTTTAAAGAAATTGGTATATTATTTCAAAAGAAAAATAAACTCGTACTTCTTTATTTATACCCTGATTACAATTTTTTTTAGCTTCGATGCGAAGCTGAGAAGGTATTAATTTTACTATGATGTGTTTTTTTTTTTATTATTTTTTTTTTTTTT